ATTGAACCTCCAGGGTGCTATATTTTAAACATATATTGAACCTCCAGGGTGCTATATTTTAAACATATATTGAACCTCCAGGGTGCTTTATTTTAAACATAAATTGAACCTCCAGGGTGCTACATTTCAAACATATATTGAACCTCCAGGGTGCTACATTTTAAACATATATTGCACCTCTAGGGTGCTATATTTTAAACATATATTTAACCTCCTTGGTGCTATATTTTAAACATATATTGAACCTCTAGGGTGCAATATTTTAAACATATATTGAACCTCCATGGTGCTATATTTTAAACATAAATTGAACCTCCAGGGTGCTACATTTTAAACAAATATTGAACCTCCAGGATTCTACATTTTAAACATATATTTAACCTCCAGGGTGCCATTTTTTAAGCATATATTGAACCTCCAGGGTGCTATATTTTAAACATATATTGAGCCTCCAGGGTGCTATATTTTAAACATATATTGAAACTCCAGGGTGCTATATTTTAAACATAAATTGAACCTCCAGGGTGCTATATTTTAAACATATATTGAACCTCCAGGGTGCTACATTGTAAACATAAATTGAACCTCCAGTGTGCTATATTTTAAACATAAATTGAATCTCCAGGTTGCTATATTTTTAACGTAAATTGAACCTCCAGGGTGCTATATTTTAAACATATAGTGAACCACCAGGGTGCTATATTTTAAACATAAATTGAACCCCCAGGGTGCTATATTTTAAACATAAATTGAACCTCCAGGATGTTATATTTTAAACATATATTGAACCTCCAGGGTGCTATATTTTAAACATATATTGAACCTCCAGGATGCTATATTTTAAACATATATTGAACCTCCAGGGTGCAATATTTTAAACATAAATTAAACCTCCAGGGTGCTATATTTTAAACATTTATTGAACCTCTAGGGTGCTATATTTAAAACATTTATTGAACCTCCAGGGTGCTATATTTTAAACATATATTGAACCTCCAGGGTGCTATATTTTAAACATATATTGAACCTCCAGGGTGCTATATTTTAAACATAAATTGAACCTCCAGGATGCTTTATTTTAAACATATATTGAACCTCCAGGGTGCTATATTTTAAACAAATATTGAACCTCCAGGGTGCTACATTTTAAAAGTTTTAGGTCGTCACTTAGGTCTCATTCTTTGTGGGTAACCCTGTATTGATAATTTAAAGCCGTTCAAATTTTATTCTGAGAAATTACTGAAGATAAATTTCGGCTATTTTCTTGCTCACCTGGATAAAAACAGAACCTGGGGATGAGTGGATGAGAGGGAGCAGGAGGGATGACACAAAGAATGAGAAATAGTATAGATTTCATCTTTCGTCATTTTTTCCCTAAAAGATACAATAATAATAACAATGATATGTTAATCATAATTTCGAAAGTAAGGTTCTCCTGCAGTACATCTTAGATGTTAAGTTTAAAATAAAATATAAATCCGTCAATCATGCTACAAAAAAAAGTACTCGAAATGGAAAACAACTGTCTCGATATAAAAGATTTTAATTTAAAAACTTCTCGATTTTATAAACTACTCGATATTTAAACTACTCGATATTAAAAACTACTGGATATTAAAAACTGTCTCAATGAATAGATGGGATACTCTCTAGGTCAAGTATCGACTATTCAGAAACCTTGAAACTCTTTAAACTAAATATGGATTTTACTCTCTACCCTCAAAAGTAAATCTTTTAATGGACCATNCATAATAGCCCCCCCCACTAGCCCTTAACCTTGACTTAATATTGAATCTTTAATCTGGAATTTCCTCTTCTCCTCCAACCATTGATTACACAGATAAGGTTAGTTGTGATATCTGAATGATTTGTTTGGAATTAAATTGATTTTTTTACGATCCGAGTTGAATGTTGCAACTTTTTGAATATGTATGAACACTACGTTCTTCAGAATGAGTCGTTTTTAACAATTTTTTCCTTATAGACGCAACAGATAGAAGTAAGATAAGTAGCGATCAAAAGCGCTTATTTTTCGTCGTAAGCCTATACCCCCTTTCAACTTTCGCGAACGCACCCTTTAAGTCCAATTTCCTTTACTTTAACTTAATCATAAATATTCCATAAATACCTCTGTCTGGTCCAGAACAAGGAAGATATATTCTATGTTTCTGCCTATTTCTTTTTTCAATTGTGTTTCCCTGTAATAGGGACTTGCAGATTTATGCAATAGAGACAAAGAAGGATATTGCTAGAATTTCTCATTGTTACTTAGCATAAAGGTTTAAAGGGAAACATTTTAAATATATAAATGAAGGTTCTCTTTAATTAATCTGTACTTTTTACAGTCTCTTTAAGTCTAAACAATAAAAAAAAAATTTAGGTTGCATGCAATCTAAATTATAAATATTCAGAGTGACCCTGATAAAAGTGTAAAAATATTAATTAATTACCTAAAAATTGGAGAACTTCCTCATTTCAATCTTGTTTAACTTGTTTCTAGAGTAAAGTTCACTTTTTTATAGAGCCAAATCAAGATATGTATCTATCTATCTTGGTTTAACTATTTCTCCATTATATGTGACCATGTGGGTTCAGTGGTTAACAAGAAACTAACCGGTCTGAGTTGAATAATATTATCTGAGAGTTGAATAATATTATCTGAGAGTTAAATAATATTATCTGGGAGTTGAATAATATTATCTAAGAGTTGAATAATATTATCTGGTAGTTAAATAATGCTATCTGGGAGTTAAATAATATTATCTGAGAGTTAAATAATATTATCGATCTGAGAGTTGAATAATATTATCTGGGATTTAAATAATATTTTTTGAGAGTTGAATAATATTATCTGGGAGTTAAATAATCTTATCTGGGAGTTAAATAATATTATCTGGGAGTTAAATAATTTTATCTGGGAGTTGAATAATATTATCTGGGAGTTGAATAATATTATTTGAGAGTTGAATTATCTGAGAGTTGAATAATATTATCTGAGAGTTGAATAATATTATCTAAGAGTTAAATAACATTATCTAAGAAATGAATAACATTATCTGGGAGTTGAATAATATTATCTGAGAGTTGAATAATATTATCTGAGAGTTGAATAATATTATCTGAGAGTTAAATAATATTACCTGGGAGTTGAATAATAATATCTAAGAGTTGAATAATATTATCTGGTAGTTAAATAATGTTATCTGGGAGTTAAATAATATTATCTGAGAGTTAAATAATATTATCTGAGAGTTGAATAATATTATCTGGGATTTAAATAATATTTTTTGAGAGTTGAATAATATTATCTGGGAGTTAAATAATATTATCTGGGAGTTAAATAATATTATCTGAGAGTAGAATAATCTTATCTGGGAGTTAAATAATATTATCTGGGAGTTAAATAATTTTATCTGGGAGTTGAATAATATTATTTGGGAGTTAAATAATTTTATCTGGGAGTTGAATAATTTTATCTGAGAATTGAATAATATTATCTGAGAGTTAAATAATTTTATCTGAAAGTTAATGATATTTAAACAATTTAAACTGGTTCCCCTTTGTGTCTATAACTCATGAATTTATAAATTTCTATTCATTCAATTGTAAGCCCTTACGCCCAAAGGATGTAAAGAATATATGTAAAAAAGTGCAAATCTAAAATCCTCTCCAGGTCCTGATGGTATCCCGTATGAGATATTATTCCAATTCAATTGTCTTCACCACATGTTATCCACCCTGTATAATAAAGGGAATGTTCAGGGATCTCCTCCCCTCTTCTGGTCACACAGCGTGGTCAATTTACTACACAAGAAAGGACACAGGAAACTTTCGAATGATCTCTCTAACATCTTAAAATCCAAAAACTTACCATCTCCTTCTTGCAAAAAGACTGACCAAGTTTTAACTGCGAATAATTATATCAATGAGAAAGTACAGAAGGCCTTTCTGCCGGGCAATAATGGCACTATTGAGCATAGTGTCGTACTTGAAGAGATTATAAGCCAAGCAAAGACAAACAAGAAAACGGTCCATGTAACATTTTTCGATTTAGAAGATGCATTTGGTTCAGTGCCGTCTGTGCCGCACCCTCTCATTCTATATAACTTTTGAGGGAAAAGGTTTAATTATCAACTTTCTCATGTATTTACGGGCAACTTCTCTACTGATGGGTTACCCTTTTAAAAGAGGAGTATTCCAAGGTGACTCGCTTAGTCCCATCATATTTCTGATGGTTTTCAATCCAAGTATTGAATTCCTACATAGTAAGAATGATTGTGGATTTAATCTGAATGGAGAGAAAATTATTACTCTGACCTCTGCTGACGATTTTTGCCTGATAACAACAGATCTGAGAAAACATTAAAAAATTCAAAATGAAATAAAATCCAAGATAGAAAGTATGGGAATGGGATTAAAACCAGCAAAATGTAGATAATTTTCCATCAGATCAGGTGTACCTAGCAGAATAAACTTTACTATTGGTGAAACTGAAATTCCAAATATATTTCAAGAAGAGCAGAAATTCCTTGGCAAACTTCTATTTCTTACTGGTAGACTTAGTGATGCGTTTAATTACATCAAGAGTGAATTTGAAACAAAACTCATTAATATAAATGCACTTCTTATTTGGGACGAATACAAAGTCTGGATTTGCCAACATTATTTCATTCCTTCTATTCGATTTCTGCTCACTGTTCATACAATATCGCAAAGTCATCTGAAGAAACTAGACACATTCACTGATAAATTTGTGAAAAAATGGACTGGATTACCACCCTGTACAAAACAACTATGACGCAAGAATACACTAGGATAAGAATACTGGGTGATGAAACAGTTAACTCTGCCTTACAATCTAAATTAGACAGGGAAAAAATGGTTCTGCAAAAATTCCATTGCAGACTATGCAGAAAAAATGTTTCAACAAGCCACATTAGAGAACTATGGTCAAGCAGAAATGCCTGAGTGGTTTGACTAAGCTTCCAAACATCAATGCTATAAAAAAAATAAAAACAACTGTCAGTGAATAAGTATCTTTTGAAAATGAAACTTTCTGGAGAGAACATACAGCAGCACTCATAAAACAAGGACATTTTCTCTGCCTGGCAATGCTTGAAAAATCTGACATGATCTGGAAATCTTACATGTTCAATCTGAAGAAAGGTACAATACAATTTCTATTTTCTACTCAACTCCTGTTTGGACACCCTGCCAACACAAACCAATCTTCTACAATGGGAAAAATCTTCATCAGATCTCTGTAAACTATGTTTACAGGCTGGCGCTGAATTGCAAGGTAGAAGACAAGAAACTACAAACCATATTTTGAATGACTGCAAGGTTGGAAACTTATAAATGTCAATTTTAGAATAATAACTAGGCGAGAGAATTAGTTTTTGATGATTTTTGAGTTCATTTTCGAACATATCCCTATTTTGAAACAATTTCTGGATTTCAGCTCAAGTTGCGTTTTCGGAACATTTCCTGGTTTTGAGACTTATACCGGAATTCATATCAATGTCAATTTTTGACCATTTACGTACTTACGAAAGAAAACAAGATTTTTTGATAAGGTAAAATATAAACAAAATAGGAAATAAAAACAAACTGTTCTTTTATAATTCAAAAATCATTACAGCATCGAGAAGTCAAAATATTTGTTCTTACAATATAGATTTAACTAGAAATGCGGGAAACTGTTTGTTTAAAATGCTTGAAAAAAATCATCGATATTCTCTAATTTAACAGATAAAATGTGGAAATTTAGAATCTAGAAATAATTCAGAAGTTAATTTAGTCTTCATAACATTCTGAAAGTGAGTTTTGTTTTGAATTGTGGATTATACTCAAAAACGTGAAAGTGGGGTTTGTCTCGAAAACGCGACATGTTTCAAATTCAAGATATTTTCGAAAATGGAAAACCTGACATTGTCTTGGAAAAAAAGTTTAAATTTGGGATTGTTGTCTTCTTCATGTTTAATAAAATGTTGGTTACATGCGCGCAACTAGATATTTGGTTAGGGGGGGCTAGGTGAAAAAATTTCGCGCGAAGCGCGATAATTTTTTTTGGCCCCCCCCACAAACATTTTTAGGGGGGGGGGCAAGAAAAATGTGTGTTATGCTTAAACAATAAAAAACTAACCTTACCAACCGGATATTCAGTAAGTCAACCCACCTGATATAAAATAAAAGAAGAAAACTATTAATTAATCACAAAAATAATTAATTTACAAATTACATATATATAAATTTTCATTAGTTATCCATAAATCAAATATGTACATTGTACTCAAAATAATAAATTATTTGTGTTGAAGCCATGGAGAGAAAGTTATGTTTTATTTGAATCATATCAATAATAAACAAATTCATTTAACTGATTCGCAATGTAGCTTAGAAAACGCGAATTTCAACTAAATCCAAAGTTTTTGTTTATATTTAAATAAACTTGCGCTTTGCCGCGTAGCTTTAACCCGCGTAGAACAAGAGTAAGATCGTCTTCGTAAGTACGAGTCAGCTCCAGGTACGAGTTCTCTCCAAGCATGACACCGGACGTCGAGATTTTTTTAAATTTTATTTAGTTTTTATTAAATCTATGCAATTTAAAAAAAAAAGTTTGAACAAGAGCAGTCTTTGGCGGGGTTGGAACAGGCTTTCGTGGGGTTGGAGCAGGCTTCTGCGGGGTTCGAACAGGGTTCTGCAAACTACCTGGGTTTGAACAGGATATTGCGGGGTTCATGGCCGCATGGCCCCCCCTCCCTCCAGTGTCCTGTACTCCCTGTACAGTATACAAACTAGGTTTAGTGTAAAAGTAATGTCCTTTTCTGCCGTTCGATGGCTCTTCGATCGCTTCCTAACCACCTTAAGTCAACCACCTATAAACCTATTCATTAATTTATATTTTAACCGTTAGATGTCTCTAGCTGAAAATCATCTTCAACTTGGTCGAAATCTACGTAAAGGTTTCTTTAAAATTCTAGTGCAATTGGGTTGTACCGGCCCGGAAGAACAATTATAAAGAACCCAAGTTGACAGTATATGAAAGGGAGGCGGGACGGGTTTGCCCTGTCTGTTCGGCTCATGGCAGTTTATTTAATAAAACGATGCAGGCCAAGCAACCAGTATTAGATGTCGGACAACAAAGTCGAGCCGGGCCCAGAGCTGAAAGGTGAGAATCCTTTAGGGCGGGAACAAACTGTTCTGAGCTGGGTGAGACGGCCCGGGTCTCAAGCCGGGCCGGGTCGGTTCTACTCCAAGTCAGACCGGACGGGGACACAGGTAAACAGTGTAAACGCGCAGTCGCAACAGCAAACACAGGTTTGGGTTGAATTCTGCAGTGTTTAAACAGAGTTTAAAGACAAACAAGTGAATTGTTTTTAAAAAACTAGCAGTTAACCAATAAATGTGAGGTTTACATCGTGAATTTAATAATTTGCAGTGTTGACGTATTTTTTGTGAATCAAATCCACGCTTGAAGTTAGCGTGAGACATATTTTTAAGTTTTTGAAAATACCGGTCTGACAGGTTTCGAACAAGCAATTTATTGCAAATGTAAAAAGTGCATTTAAAACCATGTGACACTGCGGAGTAGACAAGTGATGCAAAATGAGTGATCAGACAAATTTTCCTTAGAATTTAATTGATAGAGAGAAGCTACAGGAATTCAATATATTTTCAATTGTTAACTTAGTTTTGCATGACCACTGAAAGCTATAGCTTAATTACAGATTTAAAAATAAAGACTGGTATATTCCTAGAGAACGATTTTTGGACCCCCCCAAGCCCCCCCCCCCTCCTATCAATTTTGTACATTGATCTTACAGAAAGTGTCTTAACTTAACAAAACCCGTGGCCGCAGCGTTCGGACCTCTAGCCGCAGCGCTCGGCCCAGAAACCGAACCTAACACTGAAATAATACATAATNGGGGGGGGGGGGGGGGTAGGTCTTTGAATTATACACTCTTGAATTAGATACAAGATATAGAAATGTATTGTAAAATTTATTGAATTAGAATGCCTGCAATTATGATGGCTGATCCAGGATTGGGGCGGGGTGGGTCCACCGATCCCTACAGTCAGGAGTACAATAGAGAGTACATTCAAGATCCTAGGTCACAAATGGAGTACAGGATGCAACAGGAGTACAGAGTACAACAAGAGTATAGATCTCAGCAAGAGTACAGACAAGAGTACAGAACTCAGATGGATTTCAGGCAAGAGTACAGGGGGCCAGCCCCTGGGCCTGATGGACGGACTCAGGAGTACCGTGGACCCGGTGGACCACCTCAGGAGTACCGTGGACCCGGTGGACCCCCTGGACCACCCCAGGAGTACCGTGGGCCCGGAAACCATCTTGGACCACCGCAGGACTATCGTGGGCCCTTGAACCTCCCTGGACCAGCCCAGGACTACCTTGGGCCCGGGAATCCCCAAGACCACGAGCATGCTAGGAAAATGGCAGATCTGGAAACACTTCGGCACATCATTTCTCAGTGGAACGCAAATAGACTTGATCTTTTTGAACTTTCTCTTCCTAATGAGGTAGGCATCTACACCCCCCCCCTCCCCCCCTCTTCTGAAAATCATTTTATTTCCAGAAGTTTTCAATGCTTTTTTAGGGTTTGATTCGCTGAATTGGGGGAAACATGATTGTTAGGGAAGAATTAATGAATTTTCGGGTAAAAATGATTAAAAGAATGCAAAAATTTGTCATACTATTTTTTCTTCAGATCATTAAAAATCATTCAGAGACGAATGGACGGAATATAGACCGTCTGTTTCCTTACATTAATGATTCCCCGCAACTTATAAACTTATTTCTTTCTTTGCCAATTTATTAAACAAAGCATTTTAAGATCATAGGCAAGGCAACAAGACTTAATTTAAACCTGGGATCTTCATATTTGAAGAATTTCACGTCGTCTTTACAGTCTCAGCCTTTGTGGGCAACCCTGTAGGTCTGTTTATAGTCCATGGTTATTTGTTTGTGTTCTAAATTCATTAAACAAATATTGAAAAGCAAAATTGCATAATGTGTAGTTAAAGGTGATATAACCTAGATATAACAATAGAAATTAATTTTAACTGATACGTTAAACTGAATGATAAACATTGCTAAGCTTATAGCTTAGGTTTCATCAAATTCCTTTAATTTATATTCTCTGATCCATTTCTTTTTAATACGGATACAAAATCCATTTTTACGGAAGAAATAGGGTCCAATTTATTGACTTCTAAAAAAATTCTCCCCCCCACTTTAATTTAACCAGTGATGATAATTATTTAACAATGTTTTTTATTTACTCCAATATATATGTTAATCAACGGATAGAGGAAGCCTTAGAAATTCGAAGCTTATTTTTCTTCTTAGCATAAGTAATACTTCAATATTTGCATTTTTTTTCATAATTTAGTTATTATTTTTAATAAAAGTTATATCTTTGATTTTAGTTTTAGGATATGGTAACATTTTTATTATTTTTTAATTTGCTTTTCAAAATCAAACGAAGATATTATTCAATATACAAAACAAGTAAATTTTTTATTTTATTTCAGGTATGTTGTCTAAAGTAATAATCTAAAAATATTTTTAGACAGAATAATTATTAAAAAATCTAAATATTTTAACTTTGAAGTTTTTTCTATGAGGTAAGGGAGGTAAGGGAAAGGAAAGTGTAATGAAAAAGGGTGAAGGGGAAGGAGAAAAGGGGAAGGGAAGGAGAAGGGAAGGAAAAGGGATGGAGAAGGGAAGGAGAAGGGAAGGGAATTTTGAAACTCTTGAGAGAAATTGATATGTTCTAGAGATAATCTTTTAACAGATGTGTATAATGGTTCCTAAACTTTTCTCATTATTTTTATCTTATTCCTTCAATATTAGTTGTCAACACTTGATAACGTGATAGTTTTATAAATATAAAAACTCTGGAGATGAATGTTAACAAACAAATCTATCTGGTGCTGACATTATTTTCAATATTTTAATGCTTTTCTCGCCTTTTCATTTTCAACAGTTTGTTGTGACAAGCATTGATTAAAATCAATTTCTTTCTTAATTTCAATTTCATTTCATTTGATTTCATTTTTATTTCAATTTAATTTATATTTTTTATATTTCACTTTTTGGGCCCTATATTTCATTTAAATTGTTTTCATTTCCATCTGAATTTTATTTCCAATTTAGATTCATTTCGTTTCATTTATTTTAATTTAATTTTGTTCACTTTTCATGTTTTATTATTTCAGTAAAACTTTCATTTTTTCTCACTTTTATTTTCATATATTGAATTCATTTCGTTTTTATTTATTCTCCTCCCCCCCCCCCCCCCNAAACATCATCATCTTCAGGTTGACAAGGCCGACATTTTGATTTTTAAATATTAGATTCTAAGGGACTGTAAGCGTAATTTCAAGTGACCCTCCACGTTAAGATGGTAGTGCCCGATTTGCAACGGTACCCTTATAAGCCTTGTCTGATCAATACATCCATGTTTTTTTATTTTCATTTGCGGTTTCTCTGCGAAAGTGACTTGCGCATTACTGGCTGATAAGAAGAAATGAAGAAATTTAAAGAAATAAATACTTTTCGAGTCATGAAAACCCTAGTTATCTTTAACATTTTAGATCAGATTAAGATTGCAAGGGTACCGTTCAAATAACCATCTGTGCATGGAGGGTTACTTGAAATTACGCCAACAGTCCCTTTAAACATTAGAATATTCGAGATGGGACTTCTTGTAGATCTGATTCTCGTATATTCCTCGTTTTCGAGACGATGACATGCGAAGGATATGGGAAATGACGTACATTACGCTGAAGAAATAAAATAAAACAAGATTGTGAAATTCTGGGACGACCCCCCCTCCCCCACCTATCTCTGCGCTCAACCCTCCTCCCCATTATTTCCACAATAAAGTTCCTGGAATTGTGTTGTTGTCATATGGGGGGGGGGTTAATTGGTGATCGCTTCATGATTAAAGTGCCCTTTCTCCAGGGTTAATTCTCAACATGAAATATTGGACTTCAAAAGACAAGGTGGGGATGAATGCCAACCACAACAATTACTCGTCCGACCCACATTCTCATTTTCTCGTCCGAGCCACCTCGAAATCATCGTGTCTAATCCTCCCATTTATAACATTTTTTTAAGAATCGGGACACTTTAGGGCACACATGAAAATGAAAGTTTCAAGTTTGATGTCCTTAAAAATACTTCACCCTGTTTAACGAGTATTTTCAGAAATTCCTTGAGTAGAATGCCGCAAATAATTCCGAATTTATAGAACTTCAATCATTTTCTTAATAATTATAGTGAAAACCAAAGAATTTTTCCGGGTGGTGGTTTTATGGGGAAGATGATAGGCAAAGGTATGCCAAATATTTTGTTATTTATTTTATATAGCCATTACGGAGGAAGAAGAGATTTAAGTTTTACTTAAATAAAGTTTGACATGATTCAAATGGGTTTAAGATTCCAACCTGATGTAATCTTTGCATCCATATTTAATGCCCTAACGTGGCCAGATTAAAAAAATTGTTTTATCTTTGAGAATTGGAAACTTTAAAAATTGAATGACGATAATTCCGAGGTGGCTCTGACAAGTTAATGAGAGAATATGGTTCGGAAGAGAAATTATAATGGCTGGCCTTCCTTCCTCAGACAAGTGTTCCCATCTTAGAAAATACTTTTTACCCCAATTTTTTAAATTTTCCCTTAGTATCAGTTATGTTTTTCAGTTCAGTAACAAACTCTTTGTTTCGCACCCCGCAAACATATCCAACTTCTGGGGGGTAAATATATTATTTTTAAAGAGGGGGGGGGGGTAAATGATTTTATAGAAAATTTACACCCCCTGTATTAATTCTAGAAACAAAAAGGAAAGCGTTAACATGTCTAGATATAGAAATTGTATCTAATATATCTAAAACTCTGTATTAAATCAGGAATCCGTTGTGCGCGTATAATTATACTGGATGCCGCGCACACTTATGGTTAATCACCTGGATGCGCTTCAATCTAGGGGGAGGAGGAGGGGGGGGGGGAGAATTTATTAAAACTTTTCAATAGAAATCCCTATTTTTGCCAGATTGTCAATGTAACTTCAATCGAAAACAAAAGATACTTGTTTGCGTAACAAAGTTGTTCCATCTATCTATCTATCTATCTATCTATCCATCTATCTATCTATCTATCTATCTATCTATCTATCAATCTATCAATCTATCAATCCATCTATCTCTTTATCTATCTATCTATCTATCTATCTATCTATCTATCTATCTATCTATCCATCTATCTATCTATCTATCTATCTATCTATCTATCAATCTATCAATCTATCAATCCATCAATCCATCAATCTATCCATCAATCTATCCATCTATCTATCTATCCATTAATCTATGTATCTTTTGTATTGAGCAATGGTCCTGCATTGTTTGAATTATCTATATTCTATAATAATCATTTAATGTTTCAGTATTTTGATAATTTACCTTAGTTTTCAACAGTTTAGCCCGGGGCAGCAGATTATCATAGTTCAGAAATTCCTGGGGAAGGGGGGGGGGGGGTGACCACTGACCCTGTCCCTTAAATAAATTTTCATGAAAAATATTAGAAACCATTAATTTTTAATTATAAATGATGAAGGAATAAATAACTAAGTTTCTTAAATTTCTTATGTACAAACAGTAATAGATTGGGGTTAAGAAGTTTATTAGTTTGTATCTTCTCTCATAAAGTTCAAAACGGTCTCGTAACTGTCATCATCAATAAATATTTTGTTATTTATTTTATATAGCCATTACGGAGGAAGAAGAGATTTAAGTTTTACTTAAATAAAGTTTGACATGATTCAAATGGGTTTAAGATTCCAACCTGATGTAATCTTTGCATCCATATTTAATGCCCTAACGTGGCCAGATTAAAAAAATTGTTTTATCTTTGAGAATTGGAAACTTTAAAAATTGAATGACGATAATTCCGAGGTGGCTCTGACAAGTTAATGAGAGAATATGGTTCGGAAGAGAAATTATAATGGCTGGCCTTCCTTCCTCAGACAAGTGTTCCCATCTTAGAAAATACTTTTTACCCCAATTTTTTAAATTTTCCCTTAGTATCAGTTATGTTTTTCAGGTCAGTAACAAACTCTTTGTTTCGCTCATGTTTGGATAGATATATTGCGTAATCATGTTTGGATAGATATATTGCGCAATCATGTTTGGATAGGGGGGGGGGCTGTATGCAATTTGATACTCTCAACTAGGTCAAGAAGCTTTAAAACAATTCTGTGAATAATCTTGTTTACATCCCTCCCACACAACACAATCTAAAGACACTGCAGTACACATACACACTGTTTTTTTGAGAATCTTCTAATTGTTCTATTTTGATCTAAAACCATTATAATAATTATAATTATAAGGATAGAAGAAGAAACGAAACTAAATCTAAAATAATTAGAAAAGCTAATCAGAGGTGTATAATTTATTTAAATTAGATGTTTCAAGAAAATATAGCCCTGGAAATGACATAAGACGGATCAGTGGAGTTTAAACTATCTCTTATCTGTTTAAAGTGAGGAGTTGATTTTTTGTTTATTTTAGTTAATGCATTCTCCCAGGTCAGAATTCTAAGAGCCTTAGCCAAAATTTCGCTGATCCGAATCCTGACCACGACTTATATTTACATTTATAACAAATTTTTAAAATTTTAAAAACCTGATTTTTCTTAATTTTTTGTGTTAAAATATAGACATGTATTTGTAAATAATTTAAATACAATGTTTAGGTTTTTTTAACAATAAAAATCCGAAATAAATATAAAAACAATTCAATATAAATTAATTCACCCGTGAATACTTACAACATTAAATATTGAATCTCACCTGCTCCCTGGATAAACTGCATGAATTACAATCTAATAATTTGTTCTGATGTTCAAATGTTCACGCTTCCTTGTGATATGTTCATGATTTCTAATTTTCTCTTTATACGGTTTGGTTTGTGCTACAGACCGTGAAAATTAAACTTAAACAAATATACAGGGTGAGCACAACAAATTAAAGCTCCTTCTACCCAAGGAGATATTGAAAAGAAGGAGGGGGAGATAGGGTTTCCGCACACTTTGCTGTGACGTTTTTGGACTTCTGAAGAACTAGTTTTTGCGTAACAACAATAACAAAGGCAGCCGATCTTATGTAAACAAACATGAGTTAGTAAACTGTGAAAGTAGTATTATCTTGTTATAAAAGATTGAAAAAGTTAAGGATTTTAGTTATATACGAAAAGGACTTTATTACAGATACATTTTAAATCAAATTCAAGGTTATCCTGCTAGATGTCTGTTTATTATTTGTGTTATTATTTACAATCTTTATTATTGTTGTTACGTAAAAACTAGTTCTTCACTAGTCCAAAAACGTCAGAGCAAAGTGTACGGAAACCCTATCGCCCCCTCCTTCTATTCAATATCTCCTTGCTTCTACCCTAGTTTGATACTTTTAAAGGGACTGTATACGTATGGTTTCTTGCGATTTTCCATATATAGAAATGCACGCCCGATTTAGAACGGTACCATTCTTTCATTGATCAAGGTTAAAAATTGTTTTATTTTGATATTGGTTTCTCTTACTAAGTGGCTTGCGGATTGTTGTCGAAGAAGGAAACTGTCAGAATTAAACACTTTTCAAATTAGATTCCGTATTTTGGAAATTTTAAAGATTTGAAGGATACCGTTGAATCAGGCATGCCCTTAACATAAAAACGATATTCCCCTTAAAGCAAGTTTTAGGAACTTGACATTCCAAACACTGAATTAGAATTACCATCTTAATAAGTAATCGCAATGATTCATTGCATCATGTTAATTTATTATGACCTCCGTTAGTGAATCATATTTTGGTCTAAGTAGGGTTGGTGGTATATATATATATGTTTTCTCTAAAAGCAAAGATCTAATTGGAAGTTTAACAAAAACAATGAATCTCGATAAAAATAAGCATGATGAGGAGACCCACTCCCTCCCAAGTTTAACAAGATTGCAGAATTCCGTCTTATTATTGTTATTATCGCTGTTAAACAGTTTTCTTCTCTTCTTATTTATTTTATTTTATATATTTCCAGAGGTCAGAAAAGACAAATATTATTATTACATGAATATGGTTGTGCACGTGGTATCATGAATATCTTGATCTTTTTTTTAACATTTTTGTTTTGTCCGATCCGGGCATGATTTTTTCGGATCCGAATCCATGCCCAAAAATTTCTTCCACAGTTAAGATTTTGAATGTTAAACCGGAGACCGTTTACGCGTTGTAAATATTTAGAAAAACATTGATTTTAAAATAATTTAAATTCAGAAAATTTGAACAAAATTAATGATGTTAAACTAAGATTTATGTGTCAACCGGATCATGCATTAAACTTTAAAAACGGACTCTACTTTTCTAAAACCTATATTTCCGCAGCCGGATGATTTGATGATTTGATTTGATTTGATATTTCAAACTCTGACTATATCAGGGATAAAATTAGGGATTGTGTCAAGTTATCTCAAGTTATCTTTGATTTGTTGATAAACTAAGAAATTTCTCTTTCACTTTTAATTGGGACACAAAACACTTGCTAAGAAGGTCCCAAGAAATCCAATAGTTTTTAAAACGAAATTCCTTAAGTTATTAGATTATTGATAACAGATAAATGCACAGGCGCCTTTGCTCTTTAAAGTTATCTTCGGAAACCTCGAATTTTATCTATCTATCCTAGGTTAATATTTCGGTTAAGCTTTCACTGATGAATATTTATCATAACTGAGTTTTTAACACACATTGACATCAGCAGAACTTGAATTTATCTAATCTGTGCAGATTAAGTGTAAAGTGAGGGTAAGAGATGGATGTGGGGGGGGAGCCATCAAAATCTCTCGTTTCTTGATAAGGGATTAAGTTAGGATGAAACTTTTAAGTTTAATAGATAAAATTTGCACTGTTAGGAACGATTTATTTTCAGGGGTATATTTTTTTAAGGGTTTTATTCGCTGAATTTGGTAAAATAAATGATTATTCTGAAAACGTACACCCCTGTTTATTTTCAAAGAAACCCAAGTTTTTATATTGTATTAAAACAAACCAAACTTCCAACTCATATTTTTCAGACTTAACAACCTTATTTTGAAAACTTTATTGGTTTAAACCGGGTACAGGGATGCGACGATAAGAACAACATCTAAACTGAGACTGCCCACCTAATTTTTTTCATAAAAGAAGCGGATTACTTTCCTCAAACTCTAATGCTCGAAACTGTTTTGATGATGATAGACCTTTGTCATTTCAAACTATATTTCTGCTGGATCAAACAAGCAAAGTTTACAATTTGAAAGGTTTACACCATTAGGTTAAGATATAGGGTTTAATATATTAGGGTTTGAGTCTAGTAATCAGCTTCTGTCTGTTGTGTTGTTATTCAAAGTTTTCAGACTAAACATTTAATATTGATTCAATCTTTGCGTAGGATTATAATATGCGTAATAGTTCGGATACCAGGCCTGTAACATAAACCTTGATAATAATGCTCTTTTTTTTCCCCCCCCCCCCTTTGCAGTAGAAACAATTGAAGATCGAGATCTTAAAATTAAAAGCCTTTGATCTAAAATTCGACTATTTATCACGTAAACCCGAAATTTAAGTCATCAGCATTGGAGTTCTATTGGAGACCCACGTGAAAGGCTCGTTTGAGACACCCATATTTCCATTGGAGACCCCCAGATTTTCATCAAAGACCCATAAATTTTCGTTGGTGACCTTCATATTTTTTATAACACCAAAAAGCTGGGAATCTCCAACGATATTCTGGGGGTCTCCAACTAAATTTTATGGGAACCCAACCAAATTCTGGGAGGATCTCCAATGAAAATCCGGGGGTCTCCGCCAAAACTTTAAGGGAACCCAATGAAAATCTGAGGGTCTACAACAAAAATCTGGGAGTCTCCAACAAAAAA